GTTTCACCCCGGCGAAGCCCGCCAGCGCCGCGGCGCCGAGGCCGATCACGACGTCCCGCCAATCCGCCCCCGCCTCGTTCGCCGCGGCGGGGGGGGCGGGAGGAATTCCCCGGGAAGGCCGCGGAGGTGGGGTAGAGAAGGTTCTGCGTGCGGGGCGGCGCGGAGGTGGGATACCGCGGCGGCACCCCGAGGCCCTGCGGCTGTGAGGCCCCGCCCCCCCCCCTCGTCGGCCGCGCCTGCGCGGCTTCGATCTTCTTCAGCGAGATCGGCTGCCCGGCCTGCTCGAAGGCGTACTGGATCTGCGCGACGGACAGCCCCTTATCCCGAAGAAAGTGAATTTTGCTCTCGGCAGGGTAGCCCTGCAGGGATGGGGTCTGCAGGAACTTCACCGCCGACTGCACGGCGGCGTCGTTTCCGTCCACATCACTGGCCTTTTCCGGCGTCGGCAGCTCGTGGCGTGGCGCTTCCATGTCCATAATGAGGGTTTTAAGTTCACGTGGAGTTAACTAGATAGCGATAGATAGGTTTATTGTTCAGCTAAAAATGGGTCTTACCCTTTTTACACCTAGTGGCAAGATGAAGCTTTTGGGAAATTACTTTCCAGAAGAAATAATTTAATCATGACCCCCTTCTCTTTCCCTCCCCTCTTTTTTTTTACATTCGGGTGGTTGTGTTCGTTCGTGTGGTTCCTGAATTTTGTACCCACCGCTAAAGGCCAATACCACACACAAAAAAAATGATCCATAGTCATGTTATACCTTCGCCAAGAAGGACGTTAGTGATCAGTTTCAAATAACAATAACCACAATAATAATGTTAAACTTTCCATTTCTGATATAGCTTTTTTTTCTTTTCCTTTCATCTCACATTTTCCTTCTACAGACTTTTTGTAGTCTCCTTTTTCACACATCTAGATCACATTCCTTTTTATTCCGGAAGACGGTCGATAATGACCTTAATAGTAGCCGGGTCGTAAATGTGCAGCTTCTCGTCGTCCACGCGAATCGTCGCGATTTCGATATTATCCTTCGTCAGCTTATCTTCCATCACCTGCTTTAGGATCTCCACACAGAGGTCCTCCGCCTCGGTCAAGGTCATATTACGGTGGTAGCGTTCCGCAAAAACGGCCTGCGCGGCCTCGGCCCCTCCTCCGATGGCCTGGGCCTCATAATGGGTATAAGTCCCGCTTGGGTCGGTCTGCAGGAGCTGCGGGCCCTTCTCATCCACCCCGCCGATCAAGAGGGAGACGCCAAACGGACGCGACATCAACTTCTTCCGCCCGCTGTGCTCACCGAACTGTATGGAAAGATCGCAGGCCCCCAGCGTGCAGCTCTCCACCCGCATCGCCTCATTGTAGGTAAAGCGGTGGTTCTGCGCCTCCACCCGGGCGTGCTCGACGAGAATCCGCGCGTCCGCGACCATCCCGCTCATCACCGCGGCGATGTGGTGGTCGATCTCGAGGATTTTGTTCATCGTCGAGGGCAGGACCAGGGTCGAGGGCACCCGCTTCTCCGCGGCGAGAACCACCCCTTCTGGGGTCTGAATCCCAAGGCTCGTGCTGCCCAGCTTAATCGCCTCGATCGCGTACTCGATTTGGAAGATGCGACCCTCCGGGCTGAAGGTGTTGACACCCCGGTCATACTCGGATTTCGACGCAAACATATTGCAAGAACACTTAGACTGCCTTCACGCTAATCGAAGCTTTATTAAATAGAAATATATATTTTGGGTTATGTAAGTGGAGAGTTGGTTAATATATTTAATATTTGTGCGTGCGAATACCACTAAATATTCTAAAAATGTAAAAAAAAAGATCAGTAAAGGAAATTAGGTCACACTAAGAAGCAATGTGAGGAGTATCATCGAAAGCGAAAAAACACAGAATACGAAATCTTTTTAAAAGTTATAATAGAAAAATGAAAGTAATAAATATGGAGACCCAGATCTTTGTCTTAGTTCTTTCCAAGCTCGCGCAGGCGGCGCACGGTGGACCGGACAGTGCTGTTGTTGGGGGTGCTCAGGGTATAAGCACCACCGACCATCGTCTTTCCACAGCCTCCACAACGCCAGATGCCAACGGCCTTTCGGCAGAAACCGAATTTACCACAGAACGAGCAGAAGTGTTTGGCGTGCTGAGAGATCTCAAGCTTCTTGGCGCGCTTACGGGGGTTCGCACCATAGCGAACCCCATAGCGGCCCATGACGCCCATCTTCACGGTGCGTTTCGACATTGAAAGATCTGTTACTATGAAGTTATTATTATTATTATTATTTTTGGTTTTGGGGGGGGGAAAAGAGAGAAAAAAGCATGGGGAAAATAAAGGTGAAAATATGGCACCATTGGATTATCTCATAATGGAATAACAGAAACCTTATTCGATTATATATAGATCTGTATGTATTTACATTTATGACACTTTTTAGTATACTATATTGTTAATATCTTTTGAGCTCAGGTAACGCAGTAATCGACTCAATACCCATACACAATTAGGGTATAGAAACACGCTGACAAAAGTTGAACTGATGCTATTGGTGCACCATATGGGAAACCCCAAATACCATGTAAAGTAGAAAAAGACACCCCATGAAACCCCCACCCCGATCACTAAACCCAACAGATTAAAGCAGAGAGGATGGAGAAAGAACAACTGCAGGGCGACGGCAGCCCCGCCGAGGAAGCCCGTGGAAGGTTGGAGGCCCAGTATGAGGACGAGGCCGATGATATTCATGGCTATCCAACCCCCCATCCCCGACTTCCACCCCGCGCGTTCGGCGAAGAAGAGGGTGATGAGGGTCACCCCGGGCAGCCCCGCGGCGTTGTAGACCAGACCCGCAATCGGGGCCATCGCGGGGGTCGAAATACCCTCCCCAAAGGGCCTGTGGAGCTGATGAAGACGATACCCCGTGGAGACCATCGAACCGATAAAGAGAAAAAGCACGAGCTGGGCGAGATCGAAGCTGACAAAGTGGGTGGGGCTGACAGGGAGGTAGCCCCAAGAAGCGTGGTTGAAGCGCTCCTCCATCCGGCCCAGGGATTGAATCATCCGAAGGAGCATCGAGGAATGGTGCAGCAGCCCTGCCGAAATGCCCTCCACGACGTCATCCGCGTCGCTGGAGGCCTGCAGGGGGTTGGAGGAAAGGGCGATAATACTAATGCCTCGGGTCGAAATGGGGTGCCAGGGCTGAGGGTGGTTATCCACCAACATGGACTCCTCGAGGGATTTCATAAAGTACATCAGCGGGCTGTGGTGGGAGGATTCCAAGGACCTCCCACTCTGACACATCAAAGACACCTCCAACGATTCCGCACCTGAATATAGGATGGCAATGCTGGGCAAATCCTGATTGGGGCGAATGCCATGTTTGGAGTATAGGTCAATGCAAACCTTATGGTGGGAGGATGAAATGTTGAGAACCAGCGCGGCTCTAATGTAGCCCTCGGGAATCGGCCATTTCATTGAATCATTCACAAAGTAAAACTGTACATCGCAGCTGAGGTCTTTTTGGAAGACCAAATGTTCGATAAGTATATTAGAAAGCCTCATGGATACGCTATAGGCGGTGTTCACGTACACCACAACCCTATCCGTTCCAGGTGAACGGCCACTACGAACAAGACGTTGACTCCATGGGGCTTCTGATAATGCTGTTGATGCAATACGTTTACTGATGAAAAATTCCGGGTTGACGTCTCCAATAGCATTTTCATGAATAGTGACACGTTGGGACGCTAAAGTAGGAAGCAACACCATTATCAAGATGCCAGCAACCAATAGAAATGGAGACAGCATTCCTCCATAGTCCTTGACCAAATTAAAAGCTTTTCGACGAATCATCCGTTCTCTGGTTTTCCTTCACTTATGAAGAGATAAAGGAAAAGAAAAGAGAGAGTAAGTGAAAAGAAAGGGTAAAGAGAGAACTATTTTGCTTCCGTCGGTGTCTTCGTTGTGTAATGCTAAAATCATCGCAAATAAAAAGTTCTTAGCCTTTGTGTTTGTAATTATCAAAAATATCCGATTTCAAACGAAAAGTGCCTTTTTTTTCCCTTTCAATTAGCCTACATCCTTAGCAGCAATCAACCTGCATGTTTATCAGATGTATATAACGTTACAAAAAAGAAAAAAAAACAGGTTAGTCCTATCAGAAAGAATGACCACTTGACGAAGCTAAAAATTCGTACTATCATCTTATAATTTTTCTAAGAAACCTCCTGCAATAATGAAAAATGTGCAGTGTATAAAATTATAATTTTCATAACATTGCTTTATTTATGTACACTGATAGCCAACTGCCTTGTTCGCTGTGTTGTTCATTAGAAGTGCGATAATCAGCCCATACAAACCCAATGCTTCACCGAAAATGAGCATCAAAATCATGGCGACAAAGATCTTTTCCTGTTTGCCATACGCCCGCGCTGATGCATCACCAGCAATACCAATAGAGAGACCAGCAGCCAACGAAGACAAGCCGGCTGCGAGACCGGCACCAAAGTGAAGATATCCTGCAAAAGAGGAATACCCTTTATCAACTGTTTTGATATTATTATTAATAATCACCGCGACAATCAGGCCGTAGATGCCAAGGATACCCGCCATAACGACCGCCACGATGCCACGCATGATTCGATCCGCGTGAAGGATGCCAAGGTGCGCGACACCCACCCCCGCCTTCGCCGTCCCGTAGGCCGAACCAAGGTTGGCAAAAACAAGGGCCGATGCGCAGCCCATTGAACCAAAAAATGCAGCCGACTGAGGGTAAATATCATCACAGGAGACAGCTGCCGCTACCCCGACGCACATAGTACAGAGTACTACAGCAGAAAGCTTCATATTTTTTTTCTGATTTGCTCGGACGAAATAATAAGGTAAAGGGTAATAATTAAGGTACACTGAATTGTGTAGTATGTGGTGGAAGGAAATTTGGGGGTTAGATACGCAAAAAGTAAAACCTTATAACGATAAGATTATTTTATAGTGAATCGAAAAAGGGAAAAAAGACCTGAAAATTATGATGAAATATTATTTCTGGTGAATAAAAGGGATTTCCTTACATGCACCCAAAGCAAATTGTCGGGTCCCAGTTCATGGATTTTAATAGACAATAAGGAAATAATATTAAAAAACAAGTGGTTCGTAAGTTTCCTGTAAACACATGGCATTTCATTTCCTTCCGC